GTTAACGAATTATTAGTGCCATCGCAACCTTCTATTCTTTCGATTTTTCTGACGTGCCGTTTTGGAAAATCTTGCGTACTTTCATCCAGAATCGTTTTGTTGTCAGGCGTGTGATCGAGATTTAATCCATGTCGTTCTGTTCCGTTCATCGACGGCATTTCCAGAAATCCAGAAGGATCGAAAGTCACAGACTTTTTTTGCTTCTTAATTGATGTACCGCAAAGGCTTTCCTTCTTATCATCATCACCTCCATCATCTTCAAATCCAGAGTTAGAGAGACCAAATTTACAATCATCCGGAAAAAGCACCATTCCGTGTTTTCTTTGCTTAAATACGGTACAAAAAGATGTCTTGGGGGCCACGCTGTTGGTCATTTTCCCCATATCTTTATCAGTAATGTTTTTGATCTCTTCTTGCCTGGCGTTCCACGACTCTTCATCAGTTGCATGATCATCGTCTATACCGTCCATTTTAACTTGGTTTTCCATGGCACCAAAAGATGTTGGTTGTTCATGCTCTTCGTGTTGTAGTCTCAACAGGATATCGTCAAAATCAAGCGTTCGTAGACTCTTCTTGCGTTCACTATCAAAATGCTGTACTTCTAGATCAGTTTTCCCGTCGGCAAACATAGCAACAGCAAACTTCTGCAGAAGACTTCGTTTTCTGACACGCACTTCATGGCTTTTGGTTTCTTCACATCCGTCCATCTCATTTTGATGTTCTTCATATTCAGTTGAAGCCATAACCATGTTAGTAAACTTAGAAGCAAGACTGGTCCGTCTAGAATCTTGAGCAAAAAAAAAAACAAAACAAGCAATTAACGAACGTCTGTTTTTTCTGTCTCAGGGCTCAACGATAGAACTAAATCATGTCACCTTTAGGAACATGTCTTAACTCTTTGTCGGATCAACTATTAACATTTATTCCCTCAAAATGATCTCAATAATATTTTTATAACACGGGATATCTGGACTTCTTCTCGTTAAGTTTTTGTTCTACTTCTTTTCCCGTTGGAACTTGTAAGTGAAAAATCTGAGTAACCCAAGCTAAGCTAAAGGTTTTGCGCTGCGCTGGAAAAAAAGTTATAGTAAAGTTGTCCAAAAAGAAGATCCTTAGAAGGCTAGGTTGACGGATGAAATTCTTTGCCCCATCCTAGCCATCTACTCGGCTGGTTCTTCGAAGTAAAACTCGAGCTACTAACGTAGTCGACATTTAGCTTCTTAGCGGAATGCAGTCTAGAAATAACTGAAGAGAGCTTGAGGGTTGGATATCCTTACTGTGACCACTAATCTTAATCTCCAATTGACATGCGCTTCTGAATAGATATTTTGCTTTAAAGAAGACGTTGTCTAAACATTTATAGATGGGACCACCTGTATCAAACTTGAGGAATGCCTGCACACAGTCATGGTTAATAGATTCTCAAAAATATCGAGGCAACAATACACTAGATATTAAGAAGCTCCATGCAAAAATAAGACCTTTTCCCTTAAGATGAGGACGAGTGGCGTTTTCATCTTCGTTTGATGTGGGAGAGGACGTTACATCTGCAATTTTTAATAGAAACAACGACGGTTTTTAAAATAATACACCACAGTACATATCCATAGACTTACTTGCATTTTCGGGTCCATACTCTTCAATGAATTTTCCAGGAGCTTTCTGCAAAATAACCGGAAAGTGGCCGGAGTGGATTATGGGTTGCTATAGATATTGTGTAGACCATACCTCTATCCCTATGGTCACGCTATGTAACTTCAAGACCCGTTCAGATTAATAGACCTCTTGTAGATAAATCAAATGAAGAACGAAGAAACAATCGCACAAGCGCGCCGCTATTAACTCCATTGTGTTGTCTGCTTTCCGAACGCAAAAATAAGCTTTTGTATGACCATTATTTGAAAAGGAAATATCTTTTTTGCTTCCTGTCTCACCGTAAGATCCGTTGTGGCGCTTTCTTTACTCTGACATATTTGAGGTTCCTTTGTACCAATGTGGAAGATGGCTGCAAAGAAGAGTCCTGTTCCAGTCGCAATCCACGAGAGGTGCTGTTTAGAAAAGAATTAATCAACTAGCATCTTAACCCTTTAACTCCCAGAAATGATTGACTTGTAACCTCTCCCTGTAGTAAACATCCATTCTCTGGCCAACAGCTGATGAGAATAGTCGTACTTATCAGATAGAAGTTTTTATCTTGATCCAACACTAAATTCTGAAAATTAATTTATAAGGAAATGCAAAGCAGCTCCAAGAGAGAATTGACAGTCAGATCTTGAAAGTTGCAAGGTTCGGGACAAAAAAAATATTTTTAATGCCAGCAGAGATGTGTGGAAAGAGGCTAAAAGGCTGCCAGGCAGCGCAGGGAGAGAAAACCAAATTTCTCCAACCCGTTTTTTAATTGCGTTAATTATTATTTCATTGTATTCAGCCTCCGCCTGTTTGTCAAAGCATATTGTAGCATAGAACTATTAACGCATTTAATTACCACAAAATCTGGAAGGCTCTCAGGTCCCAGAGTATCGGTATTGTCTTGTCCGAAAAGGCTCCAGGCGATCACGTATATGTAAATACCACTTAGGAAGCTGAACATTGTCCTTTTGAACATGAAAAAGAGAAGAATAAGAAAAATTGCTTTTAGATATCGCGTTTATCATTCCTACAAGATAAGTTAGTAAAAAACGGCCTCAGAGTGTCCGTGCTTGAGTTGGGTTATATAAAAGTTATACAAGTAATTTATACAAGTATATTTAAAACAAATACGATTGCCGTATGAACTATGTGTCTTAAAAAAGTCTCCTGAAGCAAAGAGCTGTACATTCTCGACGGATTATATTGTGTGGATGACGACGTACACTACACGTCTATCCTCCAGTAGATCTTTGGTAAGAGCCAAACAAAATGGGTGAACAGTTAAGTGTAACTCAATATAATACTATAAACCTAGCAAACCTGATGGCGCTGAGATCTGTTAGTTCTTCAACCGACACAGCTGAAGTTGTGATGAAAGCCAGGTGATTTATCTCCACCACGCTAAAACACATGTTATACAGTGAGTACAAGAAACCGTAATAGACGATCGGAAGCCAAGTTTGATGACTTCCACTACAGAGAATGCAACGGTTGACGCAGAAAGGAACTACGATTCCCATAAATACCGTTGCCATAAGATGCCAAGATTTTCGCATTCCAATTTTCTGTGAAAGAATGGGTACTTTAACCATATCACCGAGGTAACCAGAGATTACTGAAGTCAAAGCGTCGACAATTTGTCCAATGAGTATTATAAGTCCAGTGTCCGCAGCTGAAAGTTCCATTACTTCCATGAAAAATAAGAGACCAAATGAAAACATGCGCTTGCAAAGGTCATTGAATATAATTCCCGCTGCACACAGTAACATTTCTCTTGTACGCATTGTAAAAGCGAGTCTCATTGGTCTAAACACGCCACACTCTCTTTCCCCCGCTTAAACTGCTTCAATTCTATGGGAAGCCTATTTGCACCACTTTTATATGGGTGTGTGGGTGTGTGACGTTCCCACTTGATAAGGAAATCATGCACCAATCACAGCTCGCTTTTTGTTGAATAAATTTCCTACCGCGCACAATAGCTGTTCTCTTGTTTGCATTTTAACCAGAGATGGTTAGATGCTAGATGAAAACTTTGCAAATTAGTTGGATAAAGATTCACCATAATTATCTTGAATCATGTACAAGTTAACTTGATGCTGTCCTTAAATACAACCTCAAAAGTAAATCCCTGCGTGACTGACTGCTTGAAACTTCATGGGGTGTTATAATTGGAGCAATTGAAACTAAACCTAAAGCCTCACACAGGAATACAAGTTGCAGTCTTTTATGGCCAGTAAGGTCAATCAACGGCAGAATGCATGATAAAAACTGATGAATCTGTACGAAGCTTAATTCCACATTTTCGAGCACTTAAAATGGAGCTCTGAGCAGACTTGCGCAAAGGTAGAAGGTTTTTTTATTAAATTAGAGTTATTTTTTATGACTTTTACGAAGCAAGAGGCAATGGTACTTAAGTAAACCGATTTACGCTTATATTAGCGTTGTAATGAAAAGTAAGTTTAGGAGAGTCTGCTCATGAAATAAAAACTTTGCGTCATCATCTGATTAGCAAATTATTACATTTTGATGTGCTTCCGTTTTGTTATAGATCAAAGGTGTCGTCAAAATGTGCTCGAGGCACACGAGGCGCAGCCGAGTGTATAATTGATGTCCTTACCACATTTTGACATATTATATGATCTAAAATTGTAAATCCACGTCAACATGTAATCTGTTTATTTTAGATGATAAAAAGGCAAAATTGTGTGGATGACGACGTAAACTACACGTCTATCCTCCAGTAGATCTTTGGCAAGAGCCAAACAAAATGTGTGAACAGTTAAGAGTAACTCAATATAATACTATAAACATAGCAAACCTGATGGCGCTGAGATCTGTT